TTGTGTGCACCATGGATTATCCTCGAGGGCAAATTGAGTTAACCACTCGCATTAACCTACTTCAACCAGAAGTGATCAGAAACACCGTCAAAATCAGGTTCGATTTTAACGTCGATGAATATCTCAGTGATTCGACCGGTTTCCAAATCCTAATCGGTACTGAGCAATCTTCGCCACCACGTCTCATCGAATTCAACCTCAGTAGCACCGATCTCCGCCAGATCCATGAGAACTTAGCCATCAGGAAAGCGAGTTCCTCGCCTCAAACATCGCTCGTGTTATTGCTACCAACAATGGAATGGGCTTTCATTAACCTCGGCATCGACTTCCTCGTGACATTGACGTACCAGAGAGTTCTTTACATCGACTTCGATTTATCCTCTTTCCTTGGAGAGGATGATGTGGTTGGGAGATTGGTTAGAGAAGGGGAGATCGACGAGGAGATATCGAAGAGTTTGGATCTGGAATCGAAGTCGTGTACTCAATCTGTTTTGAGAATCTTTTGGGTACTTTAGATAAAGCTCCAACACGAATGTCATGTTTTCCATGATCGTTGTATCCCGCAGTGGCTTCGCCGGAAAAACTCTTGCCCGCCGGGTGCCCTACGGCCAATGAGGAAGGACATGTAGCCATGTAGGGTCTAATAGGTTACTTGCATAAGGGTTTTGAAGTTTGCTTGCATAAATTTAGAGCTTTATAGGTTGCATACATGATTCTGGGTTCTACAAATTCATATTTCATAGTCCACTTAACGGATTGGAGAATCACCTTTAGATAAAGTAGTAACATATCTATTTGATTTTGGAACTTTAAAAATTAAACACAACAGCAATGAAAGAAATACTTACAGCATTTCAAGTTCCTCACTTCAAGTAACAAAGACAGCAGAGAGCCTTTGGCTTCATGACAAAACCGATATGTACTTGCAAGATTCTGCGGAGAGGAAAAAATTATCGTTCGTTGTTTGAGTTGTTACTTCCCTGTGGTATTTTCGATTTTTAAACCCGCACTCTCTGGTGTCTTCAAAGCATTTTCTGTTGTTTTGTTCTGCCTTGGGAATGGTCGCCTGAGGAACTTTGTCGTTGGCCAAGCTCGGGGTTTTATTCTCAATAACAACTTCCATTCTCTTGGTTTTAACTGCCCAGCCAATCTCATTTGTTCCCTTCTAATTTTCCTATTTGCATACCATATCCCGCCTCGCCAACCCAAGCCATACCTGAAGAACCAAGGAAAAGATAATGAAAAAACCTGACATAGCATCTAACTTGTTAACCTATCAGTCTTTGTGGAAACAAACCCGATGACCAAAGTGGTTCCAGCGGTGGCAATTGTTGAAGTGAACCTGGAACCAACTGGATCAACAAGCTTCTTGAGTTCTCCTCGTTCTAACTCTTGAGAGTTTTTCATCTGTCATGAGAAAAAAACATCACGTTTCAAGTGAAAGACTGAAACAATATATCAATTAAGGATCGTAAAGGTACATACACAAAACACTGAATGTTCTAAAGGTAAAATAGAGGCTTTTAGTAGCGGAAAGAATCTTAGAAACCAGGCTGGAAAAGTCAGACAATTACGCTGTATTCTCATGATACACGATCAATAACTAGACATTATAATAGGACGCACTAAGTCATTGCAAGAGTTTCCATATAGGAGCAGATGTATGATTCCAAACTATGCAAGCAGCTAAATCCGAAGCATCAATGTAATACTATGAAAGTGCAATAATGAGGGATATTCAAATATGACTTTAAAAGTGAGTAAAATTTTGGCAAATGAGGGACACTAACCGCATTTTCAATGGACTCCAGCCTCTGATTGATTCTAGTTTCATTGTAATGGCGTAACGAGTAACCTGCACAATCACTCAATCCATTCGGTATGCAATTCGCTCAGTTGACTCAGTATAAACAGCAATAAAGGAGCAGTGAGATACTTTTGCAACGCTAAGTAGAGAACTTTGGTTTCTAACTTATTTAACATCCCAGCAGAGTAAAAAAGGATCTAGAACATAGCGTAGAAATCTCAAAGGACTGAACTTCAGCAATTGGAAGTTACAGAAAGATCAGTTATTAAATATTACCACAGAACAAGATTTCCAAACACTTCAAAACTCATGGCAGCTAAAGTGTTATAACCTATAGACCAATCTGAGAAAATGACCTCACAGATATCAGAGAAATAGACTTCATTCCTCCAGATCAACCCT